TCCTGCTATTATACACTGAAGCTGTCGCTGAATGTGCCTGCCAGTGATTGGTCAGAACACAGAGACCTAAATTACCCTCCTAGGACCTGGCGTCCACATATGTGGACATCACATTTTGGGTTATTTAGACCAAAATACTAAATTTTGCTCAACAAGGGCCTGATATCCACTTATGAGGACATTATACTGCTACTGTTCTATCGAAATTTTAAATAAATATCCTCATATGTGGATCTCTTTTTTTTTTTTGAAACAAAAATCAGGTAAAAATAAAAATCTGGCAATTCTTTGTTTTTACATTCCTCTGGCCCCAATATGCCCAAATATCAAAGAGAAATCAAAAATGCATGCCGTGGAAGAGTTCGGGTCTTAGGAGGTTAAACGATTAAAGGTAATTAGAGTGGACAGTACTGGACTGATAGGGCAGCAATGCAGTGATTAGCGGTGTCCCCTCACAGCAGCGAGGTCCTGGGTCTGACCCCGCTGATAGTGAACCGGCTTTTCTTTGTGGAGTTTGCATGGGTTCCTCCAGAGTCCAAAAACATACATATTGGGCCACTTAGGGATTCTAAATTGGTGTGAATGTCACTGTAAATTGTTCTTTATGTCTTCGTATTGGCTCTACAATAGCCTGCTAACCTGCCAGAGTTTACCCTACGTTTCAGGGTATAGCTGGGATAGGCTCCACTCCCTCCACAACCCTGCATTGGACAAAAGGTTGTGAAAATTGATGGATAGAAGCTGGTTATTGGTTGTTGAGCTGTGGAAGTTTCAGCTTGACCTTTTTGGCTACCTGTTGAAACAAATGCAGCAACACTGTCAACTTCATGCATGCTGAACACCAACTTGTCCGGTTTCCATGAGACTGGACAAGTTGAAGTTCTGAAAACTTGGTTGTTTTTTTTCTTTCCATTTGTTTTCATATGTTCTTTGTTCCTCCACACAACATAAAAGATTTACTAACGCCCACGCAAATTGGTTTTGGCGTTAAAAAATGCACTGTGGTATTTACAAAGAGAGCACAGATTGCACGTAAGAGGTGGGACCGCAAAGACTTTTATGAATGATCTCTAGGAGTTCCTTTATCACAGTGCAAAATATAGAGAGGAGAATATTCAAACCAAGCGTGCAAACTGCACATACTGTGTAAATTCTGTATATTAATAATAATAATGGATTGCATTTATATAGCACTTTTCGGGGCCCTCAAAGCGCTTTACAATTCCACTATTCATTCACTCTCACATTCACACACTGGTGGAGGCAAGCTACAGTTGTAGCCACAGCTGCCCTGGGACAGGCTGACAGAAGCGAAGCTGCCATATCGCGCCATCGGCCCCTCTGGCCAACACCAGTAGGTGGTGAAGTGAGGTGAAGTGTCTTGCCCAGGGACACAACAACCGAGACTGTCCAAGCCGGAGCTCGAACCGGCAACCTTCCGGTTACAAGATGAACACCCAACTCTTTGAGCCACGATCTCCCCATTTTGTTTTGCTTGTCTTTCTTCAGCACTGATGTGGGACAGTATTTTGATTTTGTTGTACTATTCTAATGAGAAAAAAGATGAAATAACTAAAGGCACAGTCAAATCCATTTTTTCTTTTTTCTTAAAAAAAAAAATATTTCAAAGGTTTTTTTTTGTTTTGTTTTGTTTTTTTGCATTGACTTACCACCAATAAGTAAAAAATACAAAGGCAGGTGGTGTGCTAGCCTTGTGTGCTGTGCAGGGAGGATCATCAGCCCGTGTTAGCAGCTGCCAACAATTTCTTCCTACCGCAGGGTCTCTTCCCATCACAGGAGTCCTGCGGAGAAGCTGACCTGGTGCTCTCATTTCTAAACTGGGGAAAGCAACAAGAAGCCAACCTGAATTTTCATGCACGTAACAGGACAGAGAAAGAAACCCTGGGCGTTCTAGCAAACAGTAATTTTAAGTGAAAGGACAGTCAGCTGACTTTAATTAAATGTGACACTCCCACATGCTGCCTGAAATCCACCTCTGACTTGGACGTTCTTTAAATTTGTTCCAGGCAAGAGTTAATGAGTTCAAAGAAAGACAGGAGCAACCCATGGAATGAACGGCGTTTGGCACGAGGGACAGCAGCGGAGTCGGAGACACCAGTTCTGCATCCACACCATGAAAATGAGTTAACTGGACATTTCTACTTTTTTTTTGTATTATTTAAATATACATACTGGGGAGCAGGAGGAATGGCAAGTTCTCCGATTCCTGAACACAGTCTGTATCAGTTTCAAACATCTGTGCAGCTTTTGTATTTGTAGTATTTTCAAATTGATTAATGATGATAAATGTGAATACGTTTTGTGTTTATCATTCCCTGAATGCTGTGTGATGAGTGAAACAAATATAAAACATTAAACTCTTAAAGACTTTGATTTTTCCTTTTTTAAGCCATGGATTTCACATTATTATTTTTTTTTTTTTTTCCTTCATAGGGAGATGGTTTTCACGGATGTCCAGATCTAAATGTTGTTTTTCCCTAGATTGCTCTCATCTGTCCTTTGAAGTTGTGTTTGACGAATGTCCTTATTAGAAGAAGAATGTGGTGTGAAGGACTGCGCCCAGTGCCAAGAATACAGAGGGAAAATATGAGGGGAGTGAAGTGTGAATAACAAGGTTAAAGTTATTTGAGGTTAATCGCATCTCTTCATCAGTCACATGTTCAAGCAAGGCGCGCTCTTCGAGTATGGAAAAGAGTTGAGTAAAAGTGTGGAGTAACCCTGTTTCAGGACTGCAGGCATCGTGAGAATGAATTATAATTGTTAGATAATTGGTGTAAATGTCAAAATTTGTCACAAATTTGCTAACATAACCAAAGTACCACAAATCCCTGAGATATATAAATATTTAAAAAAGTATTGTAACAGTTGGTCTCAGTTTTTCCTACATGAACAAGAAATGCGGCTGTAATAAAAAAAGAAATAAATGTACAAAATTTTAGAAAACTTTAAGTTTTGTACATTTAAAGAGAATGAACCACTGTAAGAAAACAAACAGAAACGGTGAAAAGGCTTTTCTTTTAATTGTTTACCAATTAATTACTTTAGTGCAGTATGACTGGCAATGAGGGTGGTCTTTCTAAAGCAGGAAAAGGTGAAAAATAAATGAAAATACAATTTAAAGTTGAAACTTTATAGCGTCCTTGACATTTTCCAAAGTTGTTTGGTGGCCCAGCGGCTTTGCTAGGCCAATTCTGGTCCCCAGCCTTATCTTTGCAACCCTAATTTAAAGGGTTACTTTGGCAGCTAAAACAAGTGAATTTTGTGTGTGGACTTTTCTTTAAAGTTCAAAATTAAGTTGAGTCATCCTAGATCAGATGCACCAAAAAAATTGATTTCAGTCTCACCTGCTCACAAAATATTTTTGAAGCAGTATTGTGATTCGTCCGTGTGATCTTGAGCATACTGCGTACGTTCTTCTGGAGAGCAGCGCTCTGTCCTTGAAGCCGTTCCATGCACACGATTGCCGTTCGCTGTTCTCCTGATGGTGGAGTCATCAACACAAACATTAGCCACGAAAGAGAGAGAGAGGCCTGCAACTGTTCCTTTGTGACTTTGATGACTGTAACATGGTTTGCTGTGGGAATGATCTTTGATTGTCAACCTCTCCTTCATAGTTGAACACCATCTGTCTGACTGATTGGACTTGTGGAGTCCGAATTCTTCTGGGATGGTTTTGTAACCTCTTCCAGCTGCATGAGCATCAACACCAACTACGATCCACTCCCTCAAATGTGTTTTGTAAAGATCAGCCTTTGATAGATCCCTGTTGTTCCAGTCATGTTGTTGTTGTTCACTTAAAAACATCAAAAACCCACCATCCACGCCCAATTTTCATTCAATGGATTGATAACATGTGTCTCCTAATTTTACCTTTAAATTATCCACTAAATCTAGAAATTCTTAAACTTTTGCCCCATCCCATGTAGGTGTAATTTTGAAATTTTTTTCCTGAATTTCATGAAAATTTTTTAACTTTTAATCTTCAAGGTCATTTTTATGCAGAATTATAGAAAGACAAGTGCTCAATAACCACTGTAACGTGGGATGACTAATAGAGAAATAATGCATTGATGCCACTGCTGTGGTTTTCAAAATGATTTAATTCGAAATCCCAGTTTAATGTGCCAGTCATGCCCAAATGCAAAATAGACGAAACTCATATAATGACAGAGAACCACATGAAACATGGTCACAAACTTTAAATACTGTTTACTTGGACATGTGTTTGCTGACAGCAGCACTGGGACACTGAAGCATTGCTAAGAATATATAATTCTCTTAACAAACAATAATTTTGAGTCTTGATGTGGTTTTGTCAGTGTCACGAAGTTTAGAATTGAATAGAAGCAGGATGAAGTTCCAGCCCATACCACGTTTATGTAGAACATATTGGAACTCTCCAAAGTGTCTGGTGTAGGAGCTCAGAAAGTCCTATAAAGTGAATAATATTTTTCTAATCTTTAAATATTTGTCCTTGTAAACGTGCCAATAGAGGATTTTATGCTTAAATTCTTTAATTTAGTTGTTCCAGGAATCCAGTGCAGCGCCGTCTCCGTTTGACCTCAGGACTCAGCTATGTTGTTTTTTGACAACAGCCAGTTTTGTGGGATTAAAGAGATCTGTAATGTGAACAGTTGTTTAAGATCTTTTTCTCACATTCGGTCTACAGTAAATCACCACAAGACCCGCCTCTTGGAATCAGCTTCTCTATTTGTCAGCAGTAAAGTCAAGACGTTTCACAAGTTGCCATTTTATGATCTGTGATATCAAATGCAAACCAAATGCAGCTTCTTCTGAGAAAAAGAAAGCATTATGTTTATAATATCACATTTAAGCTTCTACAAGCTGTTATTGACAGAGAAGACGGGTTGTTTTGTTCACCGTTTTCTACTTTATGTAACATGTTGTAATGTGTCAATTAGTGACTGCATCTCTACTGACCTGTAATGACTCAAACAAAAACCCTCAAACAACACAAGTGCTATAAAATGATATTTATTACTGCATACTAATATAAATGTGATTTCAGACATAAGGGGATATAAACATTTAACTTGATCGTCCAGGTCAAATTACCGACATGTCTCAGCTTGTTGGTCCCACTTACAAAGGAAACTTACAAAGTTGTACAATCACTTAGACGCAGCTAAAAGCAGGCTCAAAATGGCAAGAAATAGATTTTAATGAGTCACATACTGCATGATCAGCTGACTTGATTGATGTTGTGTCCAGGCGTTAAAATGATAAACATATTTCAGTGTGCTCTAATTCTTCCAAATGGCCTCAAACACGTTGTCTGGATTCTCAGAATACGCACATTTCACGATTACTGAGAACAGTGAAAGTGTTTCTAACTGTAACATGCAATTTTTTCTCCCCAAGTGACAATGTTGTGAATACAGAATAAATGCGTTCCTTCTGAGGGGGAGTTTTTATATTAGATTTATATGTGATTATTAAGTGCTTGTATTCACTTTACTTTCAGCTACCTATATCCTTCTCATTGTGAGATGACATTAGATTAGATTAGATTTTTCTTCAAAAAGGGTTTCGTTTGTTTCTGTTAGCTGGCATATAAAACAGAGACACAGCCACGGGGTAATTAACAGGTAATGCACTCGCACATACACAAATGCTGGCAATGACATTGGTCAGTTACACAGGTGACTTTGCAGGCTCTACAAAGACTCACCACAGAAGTCTAGACAGACAAATTCATGCAGCATGGCCCCTCCCCCCACTAGCAGCTGAACACATCAACAGACTCGGCAAAGCATCTTAAAAAAGACTTCTATCCTGTCTTTCTGAGGAAGTTTGAGAGGTCAGTAAAACTCCTGTTTCAAACACATTAAGTATTACTTAGTTAACACAAACATTAATCTGACTGGCATAAATGTTAGCATTAGCCATTTAACTGTTAGCAGCTAACCCACGTTAGTTGTCTGTTATCATTAAGCTAGCAGCTATGGCTAATAATGAAATATTAACGGTAATTTTGGAGCTAGGCAGCAGATTTTATCAGTCCTGCCTGTCTGTAAAGTTAATGGACTGTTAATTTAACACGAAGGCACAGTTGTTTGTGTAAAAAAACCCCAGTTTTATTTCTCACTGGCAGCCTACCTCTTCAACTCTGTTCAGCAACAAAAACGTGGGACTAAGTCAACAGAAGCACAGAAAATGAACAGGGCTGTGGTTCAATCCTTTGCATGAACCAGCATTGTTCTAATATTTTAAAAGAAGTATGCCTATTTTGTCATTTTTTCATCTGTGGTGTTAGAAATAGCATCAGGTATTGAGTATTTTCCTGAGTGTCGGAATTCTAGTATCGCGAAAACCCTACTCAGGACATTACAGCCCAGCCCTGCTTCGACTGTCTGACCCTGGGAGACTAATTTACTGTTTAAAAAATAGATAATAATGATAATAAGAAGAATATGTGTGCTCCTGGTCACACTCCTCGTTCAAAGCTGCAAGCTCTTCCACTGCAATTTCCCGTTTGGTCTCTGGGTCTGAGCACCCAGCTGTCATTCCTAGTAACGATCCTCAACATAAAAGCTGAGTCTGTTTGAAACAAAAGTCGATGGTTGCTCTCTGCACAAGTTACAGGTCCATGATGCCTCATTTAAGTCATGTCTGACCTCAGCTTTTTATGGGCTGTGTTGTGGAACTTTTTAACCTTCCCTTGTTATGTGAGTTTTAAAATCATTCACTTACATACAGCTTATCCAGCAAATTTCTTTTTCCTTCCAAAAAGCTTTTACATGGCTCAGAAATGTATTACCTAAACAGCTCTCATAAAGCATTTTCAGACTAATTTCCAGCCACAGAAACATTACTGCTCTCCGATAGAGGTGAAATATTTGGCAATAATAACATGTGGACACCTCACGTCTTTAGGTAACACAAGCTCTTCGTGTGCTTTGTGTTGTTTTCTTAGAAAAATAGAAGCTACATTGTAAAATTACTAAGGGTCACAGTTTCCCTCTAGCTTTCCCCGTGAGGTAATAAAGCTTCAACAGGTAGTGTTTTTCAGTGCTTATTCATAGCTACACAAAGTACTAAGGCTAAATATGATGGTAAGTTTGCACTCTATATGTAAATAATACTGTACATACATTTACATAGTGGTTTGAATAAACATTCTGTATAAATGCATTTTTAGTGTCACCGAGTTGTCCTCTAGAGAGGCCTCAGCGTAGGAATATGAACGTGTTTATGTAGCATCGGTTTCATCTAAGCTTTTGCATTTACTATTACAGCCTGAGGAGACACACTTCCATTATTTCATCAGCATTTTGGGGTTGATCTTTGAGTCTTTCAGTCGGCGGCGAGTCCTGTAGAAGTGACTCCAGGTTCCCCTTCTGACTCTGATCTGAAGGCCAGTTTGTCGGCACTGAGACTGCTGTTTGTCCCTGATGGGAGCACTGGTGTGTACAGGAGGAGGTGTGCAATTAGTGTGTCTGTGTGTTTGCATTTATGAAGAGCTTGTGTATTTCTGACTGGAACGGGAGCTGGAGCGGTCTAGTCCGTTACCGTGGCATGAGCCCTTCCAGCGTCCTCGGTCATCCAGATGAGATGTTCTGTAACACCAGCAACACAGGCAAGACTACGAAACAGCAAAAAAATATATAAGGTTTAGACTTTTGACAAATAGGTTTTCTAGTAAAACCACATTTGTAATTTTATTGCATACCTGGAAACAGTTTTTAAACTTTTGGCTGACAAAGTAGAGGGCAATCGGGTTAATGCAGGAGTTTATGGAGGCCATGTTGATTCCAATGTAATCCATCACTAACAGGAAACTGACAGATAAAAAAGCCAAGGTTTACATGCAAGACTACAGGAAGGTTCAGAATGGAGAACAATGGCACTGGCTATCTTCGTGCCTACCTGAGCAGCTCACAGCGGTCGGGGTCATCCTCCTCATAGACTGTTTTCTTCAGAATACGGCTGAGATGAAGGGGCAGCCAGCAGAAAGCAAAAATCAACACCAGGCAGAACACTGTCTTTGCTACTTCCCTCCTCTGCAGCACACACACACAAAGAAATCAGAGGAACAGTAAGGTGACCATACCCAGCTCTTGATCTAATCACAATTCACAGGTTACTGTAATGTGTGGTGTACAGAAAGAAAGTTTTTGCTGTCATTGGTTAGCTGTATTTCACAAACTAATATAAAGATCCACTGTGCCAGTGAATTTTGTCATTAGTTTGAGTGACCAGTACTCTCTGAGAAGAAGTGATTCTTGTAAATTATAGCAGACATTGCCATTGCATAAGCTAATCAGTGTAATGGTTCCCAGCATGGCTGTCATCTGCATCTCTACCTGCTTCATGTGGTCATTGAGTGCGATGCGCATGCCTTTTTTGCGGCTGAGCATCTCACAGGACATGAGAGTGTAGAAGATTCCCGTGCAGACCAGAGGGAAACAGAAATAGAAGCCAAACAGCCACCAGTCCTTCGCTTCCTTGTAGAACTGGGAAAACAAAACAAAACAAGGGTACTGGAAAAAATACATATCTATTTTTCAAGATAATGTCATGTTAAACCTGTAAGCGGCAGGTACAGTGCAACTTTGGTCTAAGTACATAAGTCCATTTGTATCTCATTTGATCCACAAGTTTCCCAGAACTCTGCGTCATCAACATAATCACTGTTTTCCTGGCCTGTTGTACGTCTTTGGTGGATCAGCTGCATCTTTGCTAATCTTTGCTTATATGGATAATGTTGATATTGTTGCTGATATTTCAGCTTGAATATTTACTTTGTTAAACCAACATAAAATTGTGTGTATTATATTTTACAGTACTGTGCAAAAGTCTTGAGCCACCCCTCTGTTTTTTTGTTTGTTTGTTTGTTTTATTTTCCTAGGAAAAGTGGAAATAGGTGAAAACATACATGGAAATACAACATACAAGGAAAAATATGAGTTTGTAAAATTGCAACAACCTTGAAAGCCAAAACATGACAGAGCCTCCACGGTGTTTTACAGATGCTGCAGACACTGAACTTTTACATACATGCTGATGATGACTTTCTTATTTCTTAAGGACATAATTTTCAGATACGATTCCTCTGACATAGATAATTGGATACATCTTTTTTTTTTAGGCCTGCCACTTCTTTTGCACCAAAACATGTTTTTGGGAAACACCTTGATGGTGCAGAATATTATTTTAATGCAAACATTATTTGGCTTCAAAAACTTTGCTGTGTTTTTCTGTTTTTTTCTTTTTTAATTCAGCTCAAGAAATGAGAACAAATAATGTGGTTTTTATGACAGGCTGCATTTAATAAAGTGCCTAACGATACAATTTAAACTGGGTTTTTTGCCAAGTTGTCTGTTATGTGTAGACAACATTTACTCATCCCTCATAGATTGTTGTTAAGCAGTTTAACAAAGGAAAAAACAAAGGGAAAAAAAGATCCTCTAAATGTTTAGGCACAAGGACCGGACTAAAAATGTGTGATGATGCAGGCGATGTCCAAACTAAATAAAAACTTTGAAAGACCTTCAGAAAGCCTGGAGGACTTAAAAAAAATAACAGAAACTCTGGTTTCCTGGAGATTGCAAAGAAATGAGGAGTGGCTTATGACTAATAAACAGTACCTTGATTCATAGCAATAATCAGCTTAAATCTGACTATTGATCAAAGCTGACATTGTAGGTTTATAAGATAATTCAAATCCTTTCACCGATGGCGACACATTAAAAGCCAGCTTCCCGCTTTGTTTCCACTGAACTCTGTGGTTCCTTCCTTCAGATTTAAAAGAAACAAAATATCTTTGTGATTTTGATCCTGCTGCGTGGCTTTATCAATGAACTGTGAAAAAGTAATTTGACATGTTTTGCCTGCAGTGTGTTGTATTGCATTTCTTTGCTTTCACTAATACCTTACTGGCAGAGTGATAAAAGGAGCCTGATTAAAGAAACACTCTAATTGTATCATTGCTGTCCAGGCGCTTTACTTTGAAGAGAACCATTCTGTTGACATTTTCACTCGAAAGTAACATCAGGTGCAAGCTGTATAGAATCCAAGGGGTTTATTCCCCCTCAGCCCAATCCTAACAGATCCAAATCAACACGCTGGATAACTTTGACCATGTGTTTGTGGGAAAGTTTAATAATCCCTATCAAACATTTTGAATTGATACATAACTCCTCTCTGCAAAACTGAAGTTGTTTAGATCATATATCTCAGAAAGATGTAAGTATCCAGCTGTTTGGAGTTTTTCCATGTTGCTGGTTTTCATATTTCCTCAGCTAAGGCGGAGGTTCAGACGACAGACAAATTAAAGGAAAAATCTGAACCTTTGACCGCAGCATCAAACATTTAAACATTTCCTCTCCGATCAGCTGCAGCAGTTTCACCTATGTGCAGAGGGGTCGTCGTGTGATTTGATGAGTTTAAAATTATGTGAATAACTCTTACCACATTCTTGCCAACAAACATTACACACGACTTCTCCGGGCAAACTGATGTTCTGTGATCAACACATGGAGCTGTGCTGATGCATTTCTTCGATTTACAACAGTTTTTTTGTACTGAAGGTAAAATGCCTGAGACATGTTGTTGTTTCTACACTTTGTATTTCTCAGGCTATTTAGCATCCGTTTTGCAAACTGATGGTATAAATTATAATGTTATGACACCCTTAGTTTAGCATATCTCAAATTTATTCTGTTTATAGCAAAACACTAATACCAAATCGCAACAATAGTTGTCTCAAGGCTCCTTATATTGTAAGATAAAGATCCTACAATAATACAGAGAAAACTATCCAACAATCACATGACCTCCTATGAGCAAAGCACTTGGTGACAGTGGGATGAAAAAACTCCCGTTAACAGGAAGAAACCTCCAGCAGAACCAGGCTCAGGGAGCCATCTGCTGTTACTGGCTGGGGGTGAGGGGAGGAAGAGCTTGTATGTTATTTATTGTGTTAAGTGTCCTGCATTTTAATGAGAATGTCATCATTGCCAGCTGTTAGCCCAGTGTTTAAGTGATTTTTAGAGAATGCTATCAAGCTGACATCCTAAATTAACATGGTGGACAACGTGATCATGTTGCAGAAATAAGAGTATAGGCCAAAATGTAGTTCTGTATTTACTGTAGAAGAGTTTAACAATATCTTGTTACTTTCTGTGCACAGTGATGGAAATTGGGAAACCGAAGGTAGCAAAGGACACCTTTGCAACAACTAACATCTTATGACCTTAATACGTTTATATAAAAAGTACTTGTGCAGTTTTTCCACCTCCTACTGGTGACCTCTACCTTGTGATGCTGTAAATTTTGACTTGACTGTGACAATCTGGTGGTTACCTTCATAAAGCTTGTGGTCTGTTCTGGATGCAACAGGCAAACCCTCAGCTTGGTGCCTCTGTATGGTATCTCCAACATGTCGAATGCGAGCGCCTCGGGAACTGCCAGCACCACAGCAAGCAGCCAGATCAGTGTCACCTCCACAGCTTTCCACAGTGGGATTCCCATCCCTTTCACCCTGCTCCATGATGTCACTGCATGGTAGCTATAAACAGAAACATCCATTAGCTGCTTTTAATACTAACACTTGTCAGTGTCTATGTATGTGTGTGGAGTAGTGGTGTACTCACCGGTCGATACTGAGTGCGCACAAGCTGAGGACGGTGATTCCCACCGACGCTTTCTGGATGAACGGCATCAGCTTACAGACATACACGCCAAATGGCCAGTCCTCGGCTAACAGCTGCAGGAAAAAGAGACGGAGAGGAGAGAGTTTTGTAAATGTAAGAAGTTCACCTGTGTAAACATGCGGGCAGACCTCTTTGAGGTCCATTTAGGGGTCCTTCTTTCCTCGTGTCTTCTTTCATTAATACAGCTTCTAATGCCAAAAGCAACAACAGCATGTTCCTCGTGACTGCCAAGTCCATCTCCCAGGGGTAATAAGTTCTGCTCAGGGTCAGGACAGCGTGTGTAACAACAAATTATGGCCACAGATCTGAATATCAGAAGGGACTTTATATTTTTCAGCTGCTCACAACAATCTGTACTATTCGCTAATCTATCAGAGGTTGTAAAGCCTTCGCACTCTAAATGTTTCCTCATTAAATCATGCTGTTGAAATGCATCTTAATACTCCCACAAAAAAGTTTCGAATATTGTTTTTTGGTTTTATAAGCTCTTGCAGGCTGGGATTGTCTGGCTGCACTAAAATCTCTGACCATTGGATAGTGCAAGTGAATAAAGACATTTCTATGAAAAACCTAGCATAACACTTTACATCTGCCTTTTTATGTGTTTGACAATCCCTTGAAGTTTTAGGTAGACAAGTCTGCAACATCAAATCTTACAAAGCAATAAATAAACCTGATTTATTTATCAGGTTTACATTTTAGGCAATGTAAACTGCTTTAGCTTGAAGTAATACTAAATGAGATGCATCCTCAGGTTTGGTATTAAACTGAATCAATATTAAGTTTTTACATATTGTGTAAGTCGGCTAAATTGTTTAATGAAGACTTTGTCATGCGAAACTTTCACTTGTATTAACAGTGAATTGAATTTTATTCAAAGATATAACTGTGTGATTTTAACAGAGCAAACAGTTTCTGAATTAAAGACCTGAGAGACAGAGGTCACATACAAGTGACAAACTCCATAATGAAGCCACAAAAAACAACAGACAAACATACTCAAAGCTGGCAGAGGGGTAATCCAGCAACCAGTGGGTAATGTAGCTATGTCCATCTTTTATGTACAGTCTATGTTAAACTATGAAAAGAATCATAAAGACACATAGTATAAATCTGGTTACCTTGTACACATTGATGGGGATGGCGATGACAATATATAACAGGTCTCCCAGTGCCAAGCTGCCAATGAGTACATTGGGTCCATTTCTCATACATTTGTTCTTATATATGATCCTGAGCAGTGTTGAGTTGCCAATGATTCCCACGACAAAGATCAGGCAGGATATGATGGTGTTCACATATTTGAAGGCTTGCTTGATCTCCGTGGGTTTTATGCACATGGGGGGGTGCGAGCTCCGTGGTCGGCCCGGCTGCGAGGGTGGAAGAACAACTGATGCGTTGTTGTTGGTGGGTTCTAAAGCTTCAAGCCCACTTTGGGAGTCACGGACGAACCTGGAGGCTGCAGCCTCCGCAACCATCAGAAGACACAGCAGTGTGATGGCCCTCATCTTCACAGAAGCCTCGCCCAAAGGTGCACAGAAGTAAGAAAACACACACTTAAGGCACACACACGCATCCACCCACTGGGCCTTGCTCCACAGCTGGCAACGTCTGAGTCCAAGTTGTCCTGCAGAGAAAATAGTTCAACCATCAAAACAGAAAAATTGCTGCATGTGTGAAATGAAGACAAGCCTTCCAGGATGCATGCTGAGGTGAAAACCAGCAACGATGGTGAGTTCACCGCTTTGGACTAAAGTATTTCTAACGAATGTTAGATTCTCAGGCCGCATAAAAAGATATTTATGGTTTGAAGAGGATGACTTTTGATTCATCTAGAACGCCAAAAGCACGTCTGTGTTTTTGTTTACCCTATAAAATATGTACTTGTTGCTGATCCTGTGATTTTTCAACTTGGGGTTCACATTTACAGTTCTGTACAAAATAATTATAAAAATAACTACTGAATGGATTATTAAAAAGTTTACTACAGGTAATCATGCCCCTCTGAGCATGACCAACATCACCAGGTGCAAATTTAAATTTCTCCTGTGCTTTGGTTTATGGTAAAAAAAATTTTTTTGAAGAAATTAAAAAAAAAGAAACCTGTTTAACAATCTCAGCGACCCCTGCAGTATGTTCATGGATCAACTAAGAGCAAAATCATCCCACACCAATGAGCCAGCCTATTGTCGCTTGATCCTGAGGTCTAAGTAATTATAAAACAAAGCAAACATTTCAAGCACAATCCTGAGTAAACAATTTGCTCTTGAATCAACAGGTGTCACAATATATTTAACTGAGTACATGTGGACGTATATTAAACACATCATCAAAGCAGCGTTTTTGTGCAATGAAAAAGAAGCTGTAAAATAAAGGCTGGTGAACAAAGGGAGTAGGAGGGATGAAATATTGATGAAAACAGTGTTTGTGTGTCCCGTGCGCTCTGACATCTTTCTTTCACTCATAGAGGACTCTAACTTGGCTATGAGCCCTCTCAAGAATCATGGCCCCCCACCACACACACACACCCTCCGAATGGCCTGGAGCATGGAGGGATAAATGGGCTGATTGACGAATACAACCGCGTCTATAGAGACACGCTATCGGGGTGAAGACGTACACACACGCTCACACACCACACAGACACACTCACACACACATGGGTACAATCTTCATCTTGGCGCAGATGAGCAAACCTCTTTGACATGATGGTTTGGAAAGGCAACAATTTGCAGACAGACAGGGTCACTTTTAAATAATCATGTCAGAATACACTTGCATTTGCAAAATTTAATGCAGATGCACTAAAAGAAGCAACATACGCTTGAGCGCATGCACACACACACACACTCGCTCAAAGACAACTGCTATTCATAAATGCATTTGACTGAAAAACACTAGTTGGTTCTGTTCTCACACACAAAGACAGAAAATCACATGGGTCACACACATATCACAAGAAATCAGTTTTGAAAAATGTGGCCATCGTCCAAACGTATGTCTCGGTCATGTGAATGATGCCTTTGTGTTGTGTAACATGGCAGCTCATTAGGCTATGTTAGAGCAGAATTGTCTGATTTAATTGGAAACCTGAGTTTTAACTGGCCCGATCCTCTTAATCTAATAGATTTGGCTTTAGAGACCATCTCCAACCTTTAGCTCTGCTGGCTCCACATCTGAAGAGGTTGAGAGAGAGGGAGGGGGAACGTTGGCAACCAGCTGAGCAGCAGTGGAAGGGATATTGCGGTGGTCAGATAGTGTATGCCTGTGCGTGGGGGCTGAAGGTGGGAGCGCAGTGAAGTGTTTAAAACTGTGTTTTTAAAAAACAATGAAATGCAGGAAGACACAAGAGGCCAGGACAGGAGAAAACTGACAACTTGACTTACCGTACAGTTTGGAAGGACAATAAAATAGGGAGGAATGCACAGGAAAGGGAGAGCCAGAATGAAGGAGGGGGGTATCTGAGCTACAATGAAGGAGAGGGCAGAAGTCATGAGAGTGACCTCAAAGTAAGAGATGGCAGGAAGATTTTAGGAAGCATTTATCCTCAGCATAAATTTCCAGGATGTCCATGATGTGAGGAAATGACATCAAACTGTCTTCATTTTCTTGCGATCTTCACATTCTGAATTATCCGAGCAGCACACAATAGATGGGACTGTTGAAAGCAACATGTGGTTTTTATCCCAAGCTGTGGAAAGGAGGTGGCTTCATTTTATCAATAATTTTATAGCGCTGGCTAGATAATTAGTTGGCAATAAAAGTGCAACAATCAGATAAAGCTTCGCATGCCTTTATGACTGAAAGGATTCCCTGCGGCAGAATACAGCCGCTGAAAGTTATGCATTTTATTTAAAGTGAGAACACAGTGCGCATAAACCTGAAAACTGTATTTTTAGACAAAAAGCTTGGGAGCTTGTATAACCGAGCAAACAAATCCCGCATAAGTAAAGTTTATGGGAATATTTGTTGAACTTCGTCACGTTGTCACTGCTGTTTAGAAGCGCAATGTCTAAAATCCTGTGCACATCATCACAGTGCCGTTTTACATGGCTGTGAGGGGATAAAAACCAATGCTTCCAAATGTTTCCAAATCCACCGAACCTGAATTTAGGTAATAGTTAAACAGCCTCCTTTTTAAAAAAATCACTATTAAAGTGTTAAATGTTTCTCCGACAGTGCCCTGCAGGATCTCCAGGGTGAAAAGATCCGATAAATCCTGTCTAGCAAGAAGGAAAAGCTCTTCAAAGCTTTACTCTTTTGATGGTGTTGTGATGCATTCATGCCACACATTTTAAAGACAAAGCCTGCGCGCTTGCAGGTTCTGGAAGCGACAAAGGTCGCAGCCTGAGATCAGTTGGTGATGCGGCGCACAAGCCGCTCGTTTTCAGCTCTGCAGCTGTCCGAAAACTACACGATCATGCAGGAGCATCAGAGGACAGGCTGAAAGTAGGTTAAAGCATTCACCAAGTCCGGCACAAAGGACTGAATGGGGTTCAAAGCAGTAAATATAAAACTCTATGACATGGCAACAAAACATATTTGGCATGCAAAGTGCAAACTTCAAAAAGCCCGGAGAATGCAGTAGCAGACGCACAAGAGCAGTTAATAAATACACAAAACTGCAGATAGATAGATAGATAGATAGATAGATAGATTTGAGTCTAGTATAACATAACATACATTTGTTGTTGCCTCTCCATATTTAAATTGAATCAAATGTTAATTATTACATTAATACCAGCTTAACCCGACTTACCGGACCGCGCTGTTATGATGTGCTCAAACTCAACGTTTTAGATCAATATTCCTCTGATTGGCCCGATGCTGTTTGTGTGAGCTCCTGGCGTTCAGAGTTCACACCGTGCTTAGCTGTGCGTAAAACCTCCCCTCCCTGCTCCGCCTGCGCTCTGAGCAGCCTCCCGACAAGTCGAGGGGGTTAAATACCCAAGCCGGGAGGTTGCGAAAGCAGCCAATCAGACACAGCCATCCTTTCCATTGTGTTGTCAGGATGAATGCAGGAAGACTTTTGAAATACATCTTTTCAATACTGCAGATGAAAAGCGTATCGGATTGTTCCACCTGATAACGCACAAATAATAAATGTGTAATATATGACCTTTCCTTTGCTGTTTGCTTGTTTTATGGGAATCTTTTTTGCCTTCAGCCGTTCTCCACTGGTGAGCCTCTTCAGAATAATCGACTCCATCTCCAGGGGAAAACTGAGGTGGGTTGCACCAAATATATCTCAGTTATTAAAACACTGATTCACCTGGACCACCTATGGGAAGCCTCATTCATCCATTCACAAACACACTGATACTTTTTTTAAAAGATAACATTCATCCACACACTCACACTCCAATGGTTGTATCAGGGGAAACTTGCCTTTCTTCCACATGCAGGCTAGAGGAACCAGGGACTGAACCACCAACCTTTCGCCACAGCTGCCCCCGTAAAATCATTACTTTAACTGCTGTAATATGATAATTTCCCCCAAAATGGGTCAAATAAAGAACGTATTATTTATCTTACTGCCCACATGACTGAAAGATAATTACACACGAAATGAAAATATTCACATGATTTATTCAAATGGAGGAAGTTAGCGTTGTAACTGAACTCGGCTATTGGGGGTGGGCAGTTGCAACAGTGACACATATGCTGTTATAAAAATGTATCCTATGTTTATGATATGACTGCATGCATGACTCTAATATGGAAACATCTTTATAGGCTGCAGGATCTGAGGGTTTCACACCTGCGTTTTGCTGGTACTCTAACCTGCAAGTGTGAACTTAACACTTGTTTTTATTGCATGCATTGTTGTTACTTTGATGACTAAGTGCTGTTTAGGTATTCAAAAGGTGCAACACACGCATTATCAAACAAACACAAACACACTGTGTGCTTTCATTTTTTTTAACAATCTTAGAGTTTAACAATTCAAAACATACAATAACAATAAAATCATTTCTCTTTGTAACAAATGCATGCTTGCACACTTACCCTCTGCATGTGTGAATCCTTCACATCACACACACACACACACACACACACACACACACACACACACACACACACACACACGCTCATACAAAACAAAGGACTTTTCTGTGGAGTCTGTTTAATGGCACCCATCCCCTGCTCTATTTTGGGACACGACTATTCCTGGTGCATCATTATTGTCATTACCACAGCCTCAAATTATTAAACCATTAACAGACATTATCACCATTACACACTCCTTAATGCAGCATTGCTCTGCACCTGTGTGTGCTTGAGGAGACGGAGGAACCGAGGAGAGGATGTGTTGTTGTGCTTCTAGAGAATTTGGCCCTGGCAGATGCACACAGGCACTTTTTAAAGCTCTTCCTTCTTCCTCCTCCTCTACCACAGGAAGCAGCCAAACTCTGAAGTTGGAAAGCAGCAAATACGACAGCTCTTCAATTTGGAGTCTATTTTGTTTGCTACTCAAAAAAGAACAGAGGTTGCAAAAAGACAATAGAGGAAGACAATGATTGATCTTCATGTGCGAGTTAAGTTTCCATGGCTCCACCTTCAGGCTGATGTCCAGTGGGAGGAACCTGATGAGCATTTGTTGGATAGGATTTTCTTGCTGCACAATAAGACTCTTTTAAAAGAAAAAACCCAAACCCCTCTCATCATTGCTGAAGTTTTTCTGCCGCTTAATTTCTTTTCACCCATCTGAGCTATTTTTTTCCTGAAGGCACACATTTGTCTTTCTTCAGCTGTAATGTGATAAATCCAATTTCAACACATCATGTTCCACTTCCAGAAAAAGCACAAAAAGAATCGTTCTTGTATCTTTCATTTATGCCTGCTCAACCTCTTGAACTCTGGAGTTTTTTAAACTTTGGAAATAAAGCCACACTTCTTCATCATGCCACAGCACCATTACTCCATCACTTTGTAAATAAGGTCTTCCCACAAACTCAGAGATGTTTGACGTCAAATTGTAATGAGTTATGTTAACTGAAAACAAATATCTGTGGGTTTGAACAATGCTTGGTCACCCAACATTAGTTTTTAACAATTGATATCACCAAGTTCATATGGTTAAAAAACTTAAGGGGTGCTGGATCTAACCTGATGAAACATGACAAGTTTATCCAGCAGACAGGTTTGTTTTAACCTGGCACCATCTCTTTTTTCCCCTTTACCGCTTATCCGATCTTGACTGTGGTGGGGCTGGCGCTTATCCCAGTTTACCTTTGGGAAAAGGTGGGGTGCAAATTGGAAAGGTTGCTAGTCAAGGCAAATAACATCAAAAACTCAAGAAGACTCTGGAGAGTCTTTGTGTGAAATTTTGGCTTTGTATCTGATAAAATGAATGATGAGCACTGCAATATGAAATCCTGCACTGGCAGAAAAATGGAATGAACGTGATGACTGATTACATTTTTGTTGATCTGAATATCTGAAAGAGAAGTCTTTCTAGGGTGTAGCTAACCTGACAATTTGCATAATGGGAGAATATGTAAAATTTACTGATTAACAATACCGGCCAGCACCAGCAGCTCAAATTAATCTCTTGATGTAGGCTCGTCACATGACTTTTGACATAAATCTAGAGAGGCCAAGCAGCACAAGCAGTGAATGCACCTTCTTCTTCTAAATGTGAAGACAAATGGAGGCTAAATGTTTCTTTTCGCTAAACTAAAACTTAATATGTGCTTATGAAAACTTACAATATATTTTATTTTGATCTGATTTTAAAGCAGAAAATATGAAGACAGTAAAAGCAGGTTTTAGTGGCAATATACATGCATACACCAGCAAGTACTGATAAAATAAAAAGAAACCAAACCAATACCATCCATCGTCTGCTCAACAGGGAAACATAGCACAACTATACATAGATATAAGTACAAGTTATTCTGATACGTCAACTCTTTGTCAAATGCTGGAAGAACCATCACCTTCAGATGACAGGAAACTGGTTAGGATGCTCAGAAACAACACAGGAACCACCATGAAACATGAACTCCTGAAACACCAGTCTCACTGCCCACAGTGAATCATTGTCAGTAAAACATCGCCAAACACTCAGAGAGGCTGATTAAGAAAGAAGCACCGACTCGAAAATCAACACCTTCAGGCTCAAATGGCTCACGTGGACAAGCTATGGTCAGACAAGACAAAGATTAAGCTATCTGGTCACAATGAATGGTTGAGCTGGTTTTTATATAGCATGTCTCTTCTTTACTTGTGTTCACAGTAGTAAAGGTTTTCAAACCTAAGAAACTGTACCAACTATCAAGCATGGTGGTGGTACCATCACGCTCTGGAGCTTTCTTGCAGCCAGTGCTAATGCTGCATTGAACAAGGTGAATGAAATAATGAAGACATTCTTCAACTTCACCTTAAATCAACAGCTAGATGGTTGAAAGTTGGACACAATTATATGTTCCAACAGAATAAGGATCCCAAAATCCCAAATCCACTGCTAGGCTAACACATGGAGACAAATAACATTCACGTGGCCAATTTGTCACACTTAACCCAGCATGCATGACTCTGAATTATGAGGGGCAGCGTGATCTCGCAATGGAAACCCACAGGGACAACATGCAAACCCAACACAAAAAGGCTCCAGTCAACCAGGAGGTTTGGATTAGAAGAAGTCCTGCTGTGAGGTGACAACGCTGACCAAAAAGGCAAACATCTCATTCTGTTTGCATCTTATTGTGATGTTTACACCTTATATACAGTTTTTGCAACCGTGAGAACAACCTGCAGGACAAAATCATCAGGGGATTGCATGCAGTTTTGCTTTTCCTGTTTCAGCTCACTTGCTACCGTCAGCTTTCACTGATAATAAGAACATAAAGTACTGCCAAATGCCAGAACTGCGACACCTTAAAGGCCGGTCTGTGAAAATACTGTCGGACATAAACGGGTCTGTGGCACAAAAAAGGCCGTAAGTTATAAGGAACAAAGTTATCAGATAAAGTGTCTCATTCCTTTTGTTTCTAGACAAAGTAGCTCAATCTGATGAGTTTTGGTAACTTTTACAGAAAGATCCAATTTCTGTGGTTCTTCTCCTAAGGTCCAGAGATTCCAAAAAATCTATTTTCTTTTCTTGGTATTTTTCACTAAAATGATGCTAAAACCCCAAAACATCTATGTTCTGCAGAGTTTAGCTGTTTGCCACTGGAGTGGTGACAGGAAATGAGGGAGAACATCATGCTCAAAGAATAGTGAATATTTGGATGCATAATACTCTCCATGTTCTCCAAATGTGTGAACAGAGTACAGTTGGTACTGCGTGTCTTTAATATAGTGCTGACAAAATAATGGTTCATTGTTTACTCTATTCAGCCGAGCTAGCTCCGGATGGATTGGATATTTGTGAGGGAAACAAAGATTTAGAGCACAGCTGAACTCAATCTTTCAGTGACCAGACAGACTTAAATCTCAGGGGACAATAGCCACTTTTGCTTTGGCTTGATGGAACTAGAACTGTATATGAGTGATGAAGTTGAATAGGTGGAGTTTGGACTCCACAGGAAGATTGCCACATTAGGATGCTGGAAATTAAACAGCATTGTTAGGCCTCAGACTTCACTCATCACTGTTGCTAAAGCTGCAAAGAACTCGTGGTGGTCCACTGTCTCAGGATTGCATATTCCTGCCCTTGCATCAAGTCCAAGTTATCCTTGGTTCAATAGTGCTGTGGTGCAGAAGGACTTGTCTGTTTTATGGAAGTACTGGTTTTCCAATATAAGTACAAATCCTCTTGAAGATGGAACAATGGACGCTGTGTACAACTGAGAGATGAGTGGGATTTGCAGTTTGTCTGGTTTTGACTGTTTTTAAACATTTTGGTTTGAAAAAAAAAATAAAGGGAGGATCCATCCATATAGGAAATTATCC